ACGAGTGGTCTGCGCGCCTGGTTTGCAACCATAAGGTCACTGGTTCGAATCCGCGTAGGGGTGGGCGTCCTCGCGGTATACTCAGCCTACGTGTGACGTGGTGGTAGTGTGGCAACGAAGCGCCGTTACAGCGTACAGCTGACACATTGTTATTTTTTGAAACCTGATTCGTCATGCTAACAAACATTTTTATGGTAAGGCCTTTCGAGTATTAGTGAAACGCTAGGATTTAGCTGTTTCGCTCTAGCATTGGAATATGTCGAAAAATAAAGGGTTACAAATTTCCGGGATTCTTAAATTTCTAACAAATTGCCGATTGACTTAAATGCCCCGTGTCTTTCAACAGGAGCGCCGGCGTACTGCCGACGCGCTGTATTGACGTTACGGTGCTGCGCGACCATCGTCAGCCGTGCGTGGTCTAGGTATGCAACCAAGTCGCTTGCACCTACGCGGGTTCGAGCCTGCGTAAGGACCGGGCAACCCTCGCAGTATCCTTACCCCACACACGACTGCTTACGGTTGCGCGACAGCAGAGCGTCGGTGCTGTGTACCAGCGTACTGTGAACACCTTTCTGTCTCCGGATTACAAAGCAAGCGTGTAATTTCTTCGGTCACCAGCTGCATTCTGACATACGTCAGTGAGGTCAGAGGTGGTACCTTAATTTCCATCAAATGCTTCTAGAGGGGTTTACAGTGATTTACTTGAATGTAGACTACATGTGATGGTGTAACTCCTTTGTTTTTGTTTAGCCTACTAGTTTACGTATTCATACCGAGCAAAGACCATGAAACGCGTGATTGAGTGAATGTTTATGGCCATCGACTGTTTGGCTGGTTCCATTATTTTTTCACACTTATCAGAGCTGTCTCAAGCATGTTTTATGTGGTCTTTTTCTTCAGTCTGCGTTGCGTGTCTCACACCTCAACAGCAAGAATCACACATGCACCACGCGTTTCCATCACTTATGTTTCACCGGCTCACTTCTCCATGTGATGCGCCTCTTTGAGAGCCGTTTTTTGCGACATTTACATTGGCTTAAACTGGCGCGACGATAATACGATAATTACATTAACTCTAAATAGATCCGAAACTTAATATTCGACCGTCGTCTGCTGCGCTACTTCAATTACATGCAGTGAATGGCTTGCTGTAATGACAGTCTTTGTTTTACGAAGCAATCCAATTACCATACCTAGTCTGTGCGAAACGGAAGCGTTCGATCATGACTTCATCACAGGTCATTATCCATCGATCAGTTTTGAACTGGTCAGCTCGTTTTCATTTGGCCTTAATGCGACTGTGCCAGATTACACCGGATTGAAGTGTACCACTAAGGAACTCAAATACGCATAGTACCACTTTTCTCTGTCTCCTATTATTTGCAAATTTTCGAACGAAACTTTGAATTTATTCGTGTCGTTAACCAACCAATATATTCTTACTCCACATCTGATTGCGACGAGTGATTGCAAGCATTTTTCGCCGAATCCGATCACACCGTAATGCTCCTAGTCAACCGGTTTGGCAACACTCCAATCCACGTTTCGTTTTTTACCGTTTCTTACGAATTACCAGATTTCAAACGGCAGTCCATGTTACCATGTTTGCATCTCTCGTTCGCTTGAATGGGAATTTTAGACAGTACAACAGCGTGGTCGTGCGGTCACTTTATACTTGTGGATCCGACTGCAAATGTAGGTGTTCAATACTCTCAAACATAATGCGGGTGCATTAGCAGGCGGTCAAAACGCTAACACTATTTCTGGACACATACTAACCGCTCCCCCAGAGGCCAAACACTGGCCACACGCAAGAAAACGAGGGCTGGCCAGAATAAGATATCCACAGAGCAGTATATAACACATGGGTTCTCCGACTTGGAGCAACTGTGATGCTAAACTCGTTAGTCCTATGCTTCAATAAAAATTGTCGTATAGGAAACGCTACCGGGGTCGAGTTCCTGCCCCACCATGAGTCGGGATGCCCAAGTAGCATCCTATCTCGCTAACGACTACTTGCGCCTACATAAAAACAAAACAAATTGGAATATTTTTCTATGCAACGAGGAACTACGCCCATAAGGGATACTGGTCAATATTTACGCAGTGTGCACCCTCGTGCATGTGGACATCCAACAGTCAATGTCATAGATATTAAAAGCTGGATACATCGTCACTTGGCATTTCTTGATTACAGTTCCCTGTTCAATGGTACAATTTAGAAATCAACACCATCTTCATGTTTAGTAACAAAAAGTGTATTCGCCCTACGGTTTTTTTTTGTCACTGTAGACTGTGTATGACACTCCAGTGGATACAGGTGGCGTGTTGCGTATCAGCTACATCATCTAACTGGAGAAGGTGCTAGTTTGTTTACATGTAGGTATTGTGTCATTCAGAATGTCGAAACGAATAAGTCCGAGGATTCTATTTGCTCCTGTGTTTCCTCCTACATTGACAACCTGAGGTGTGTGCAACCGAACGTAAACGCGCAAAGGCGTAAGCGTTTACTATGAGAAGAAAGTCGGTTCCTCTTGGCTTTTCAACTTCCATGTTTACATGAAAGCTGCAAAGGGTCATGTGAAACGATACCTGTCAGATGCAACTAACTAGAGAAGATGTGGAAAATGTTGAATGAAGAGTGAGCTGCGCTTCTAATGCGGTACGTGTTTTTTGACACATACGCAACGTCAAGCCATGCAACAGTAAAAGCCGTAGGTAGAGTTGTAGTGAAGACAACGTCAAGGCATCAACAGTACGCCGGTACACTGTACTGACGCTCGCTGCCGCGCAATCACCACCAGTACTGCGTGGGTCGCCCGGTCCACTACGCAGAATCGAACCCGCGACTTCCGGATTACAAGTCAGGCTTGTGATCCTTAACGTCACGGTCCGGCAATACAATGTCAAGCATCGGATTTGGTTGTCTAGTTTACCGATGTGTTGCAAATGGTTGTTATGATAAGCACGCATCGAGTTTCCGAGTTGTGGAAAGGTTTTCAAATACATAATCGTGAGGTCGAAAGAGCAGAGCGACGACCGCAGTTTTACCTAACTTTTTCTGCAAAACGCCGATGTAACCACAGCATCCAGTAGTCTCCTACTCTCCTAGTTTGCCTATCAGGCCGTACGCCGACTACACCTGTCTGGTTGAAACTTGGGGCTGGAGACCACGGAGTAGCAAGTATGCTTTCACAAATCAGTGATAACCCTTTGTTCTGGTGCATTTTACCACTTACAACTCAAACTTCTGTCTCCCATGATGAGATTTGTAGAATGTTGGCCATCGACCTTTCCCCCAATCTTTTGTGAGGTGACTTTTGCGCATGAGATTGTTTTAACTCTGATTCTTCTATCTTGACTTGAATGACTCCCTAGAAACCTAAAAACTACCCTTCCGTGCGCAAAGCTGCACAAAGCGCTTCCGTCCGTTCCGGTCCCGGTAGCTTATTGGGCGTGACAGTTGCAAGACCAGGGGCTCTTTTATGTTCCGGTTTTATCGTCTCTGAAATCTAACCATTTCATCTAACAATTGTATCTTTATGTCTACTCCATTTTTTCCTTCCCTTTTCTTAACTCTCCCAATTGTTAGTACAACTTGAGTTGCGACAGCCGCACACGTCATACTTTTGTCCACGGCGCATAACAGACCAGCTGAGTCACGTCGAACTTATCAAAATTTACGCATGACCTTTGGGATACCAAACTACAACCGTCTTAATTTTCAATTCTTTAAGGGGGCTCCTCACTGCTTTCCTCAACGACTTATCATTTTCCTCCGCGAAGATCTGAAAAATTTGACCTGCCTTCCCACTTTTAATGTCTGCGAGCATATTGACAGTCAAGTACTCCAATCTGACGCAAACATTTGTTTTCAGTGAATCATCTACGGGCCAATACAAAGTATATAAGGTGAAAATACAAAAGAGTGGACAATGCTTGGTTCGGGAGTTTTTTTTACGAAAAAAAGCGGGTCATTGGTTAGACAGCGAATCGTCTGTCACTGCCTCATTCACACAGATCGATTGCGGGTTTCGTAATCACGATGCCTGAGCTGATGTCAGCCTGACGGCTAAGCTGATGACTGTCGGCCAATACAAATAGAGAGATTAAAATATTTTTTGTGAGCACAGTGAAGATTGGGATATGCGAATCGTAAGAGAGTCTGCAGTGGCGAGCATTCTTAACCGCGAATCTTTCAATTTGGAGCCTGATAAATTATGCATTGCGGAGGTTAGTCCGGTGACCTGATTCGAACAGGTCCCATTAAATATGGCTTGTGCGAACTCTGGTACTCCTGTTCAGCAACCATTCAGGACTGTGTTCTTTACTGCGACGTGACAATAAACGAGCCGTTCGACCAGTATATGTTGCCCACAGGTGCACTCAAACGTAAGAAGAGCTTAGCTTCGGCAGTCTATCTTTGTTTTAACCATTTGTTTCACTTTCTCCAATGCAAATTGAATGTCTTATTTCCCTGGAATAATCAATTTCAGTTCCTAAGTCGCCATTTTCTTTCCTCGAACGTTTACCGTTCTTTGAAATTTCCTTTGTCACTCGCAATGCGCTTTCATGTTGTTGCAATTTATTGGTTTCGGTCATCATCTCCTGTTAGGGAAGTCAGCTACCCTAAAAATGACGCAATAGTTGTCAACGTTCTCGGGAACATCCGTCGCAGTCTTTGCATGGTCATATGTTACTTCGCAAAGACCGCTGTTTTCTTTTGTCGTTTTCTAAGTAATCTATTGTGCGTCATTTTTACCCGCTTGTCTTGAACCCTCCAAGGTTGTTATCAGTCCTTCAAATGCTGTGTTTTCCAGTAAATGCTACTACAGCGAGATTATAATGCTTTCTGGGTCTTCAGGACTTATACTTGAGTAATGGTTATCGCTCACATGAGACAGTTAGCCAACTGAGACGATACTAATGGATCGATAGCGGTTATTATTGTTCACACAGAGCGATCAGCAGTGCTGAAGCCAATTCAACTTCATCTTTTCTCTCTTATTGATTACTTGCCTGCTGTATGGCTGGTGGCTTTTTCCTCGCCATCGTCGCTAACAGTTTCGGTGACATCAAACCTTTTACCTTACGAACCGTTTCGCCGCTTGCCGCGTCCTCCCCCTATCAAATTGCATCGCTTCTCCTTTTTGTTTTACGGTCCAGTCATCGCCTTCATTGTTCTCTCGATGTATGGCCATTTTCATTCGGCTAATCCAAATCAGTGAACAGCCCCGCACATCCACCTCTTCCAGTGGTTCAGAACAAGCGGATTGCAGCTTGCCAGAGTCAACGTCCGATTTGCGATCTTGCCGCATCTTAACTGCGGATAGATTGAACCACACACTAAACATCTTCCGACTCAATGGAATTTGGGGGTTGGCTAACCTGTTGCACTCAGCCACGGCTAGTGCTTGTACTGATGTCTTCGATCGACTCGTAACCGAAAAGGCTTGGCTTGAATTGGTCCGTCCCATCCCCCTCAATTGTAATCTCAACCGGATTTCATCGTGGCCTAGGACAATTGATGCACAATTTCATCCAATCCAATCGGTCTGCAGCTCCCCTCACCAACCTTCCAAATCTGCCCCGCCATCTCCCGAGGATCCGAAAATTAAACGTGTTCCTTCTCCCAGGTTAGTCGCGGAAGTCTTCGATACGGTTTTACACTAGCTCAATATTTTTTCCACAGTCCCTTACCGGGTTTATTCCTGTCGTTATCCCCTAACTTTGTACAGTGGGATGGGACAGTCATTTCACTTCTAAACTCTTTTGACAACTTTGTGAACTGCCCAGCATCAATTTTGTATTGCTTACTCGATATTCAGTTGGGAGTATATTGCGTTCACTCTAGTCACAACAAGTGCAATTTGGACGAAGTTTTTCACCTTTGGTTTGCCCTTCGCCCCATCCAATTGTAACGTGCTGCTCCAAAATTGGCACTCGCCCGTTCCCGTGCTCACTATTGAAGCTACACAGCTTGAGCAAGTGGAGAGCTTTGTTTACATGGGCAGCAGCCTGTCTGCTTCCGGCTCTATTGAGAAGGAATTTACTTTCCGCATCGCCAAAGCTCGATCAGCGTTCGTCAATCTGAAGCACTTGTAGCCTCGTCGGAACGTCTTCCTCTTGATAAATGGCCATGTTTACATTGCTATCGTTCGGGCGGGGTTGCTATATGCAAGTCAGTCGTGGCCAGTTCCCTTGGATGACATGCGCCGGCTCTCGGATTTTGACAATGGATGCTTGAGGAGGATTGCTCGTGTGTGGTGGCAGCAACGCATTTCCAATGAAGTCCGACGTTATGTCTTGAGGTGTACGAGTATGCCCCCTCCATAAGCTGGTTTTGCTGCGTCAGCTAAGATGCCTCGGTCATGTTTTGCTTATGACAACTGAGTGTTTGCCCCACTGCGCCCTTTTTACTCGTACAGGGCTTGGCTGGAAGAGACCGCGTGGTGATAAGCCGTCCTCTTGGCGTCAACATATGAAATCGTTTTGCTGCCGTTGGATCCACATTCCTGTCTAGTTGGGGACCGAAGGACGAAGAGTGCCGATGACTAGAGACAAGCCAGGATATGGCGCATAGTCGAAAGCAATGGAAGATTTGTGTACATATTTGTTAAGATTCAGGTGACTAATGCTTAACAATTGAAAAGGACAAAAAAAATGAAACATGGTGTGTAAAAAAATAACAAAAATAACCCCGTTCTTCTAATGGCACAATAGCTGAAGTGTGTTGCTCGCCTTCAGCTAGTGCACCATGATGATTAAATCTGTGGAAGCACACAGACAAAAGGGCCAACAGTGCTGTTTTGGAACATTTAGTCCAGGGCGGGCACCAAGTCGTGACGACAGAGGCTTTTAAAGTTTTATACGTTATGCCGAAACGCTACCCCAAATGAGTTAAAAGGCGCCTACTCATGACGGCCGAGGCTATTTCGATCCGGCTGATGCAAGCAGAGCATGCTGATTCAAATGCTCCATTTACCCTGGCCATAATTTTACTGTGACTCGCCGTTCTCCTCGACCTCCGAAAGTGACCTTTTCACCCCATCGGAAAGCTGAACCGTGGTGTGTTGTATTGTGAACATGTGTGTATACGTGTGAGCTTAGCTCTTATAATCGATTGCAAAGGATCGAATACCAAAGCAGCTGTTTCGGACTTGACCAACCTTAGACTTGCCATTTTAGCCTATCACGATTTTAACCAGTTTTATATATGTATTAGCCTGATGAGAAATATCGAAAAGGAATTTCTTCGCTGAGCTGTGTTTCTATCTCTATAAGCATATTTCACGGATTAAACCTGTATTCTTCCTTTGATTTATATGATTTTTTTGGCTCTATATCTATCCGTTAAACTGTTGCTAATACATGCATACATACCTTTGCGGTACTCCTCAAATATTTGCGGCTCACATCCCGTCGCTGTTTTTTGTTTCTCGTCACACTACCTGGATCATCTCTCCTTTCAGAAACTGAGTTACCATCTGTTGATTGGTTCACCAGGTTTGGTTAAATGTCTGTATACGTTTCATCACCACAAGAGGTGACTTGATCAGTGCGCTGATGTACGTTGTGCTATCTTGCCTATTGATTTGTCCTTCAGTGATCGACGGTCAGGTGAATTTTGAAACGGACACTTTCTACTCGTCCCGTGCTCTTTACCCTTTTTCCTCGACAACAGAAGCGCTCGCTCGAGTTGTCAGTCGCATGTCTCCTATCGAACTCTGTCTTTCGATCCGCAGGCGATATTTCTGAGTTTTTGGTGCAGCAGGTCGATGTCACCGCGCATATTGATCGAATTATTGCAGGAAAACCATGCTTCTAGGAATTCTCCGGTTTTGTCTCTTTTGTTTTTAGCCAGAATCTTTTGTTCCAGTCGGAACCATTTCCCTCCTCATGAACTTGTGCTGGTACCAGTGAAGATGCATTCTGTCTTGCAGACCCTTTAATATTTTTCTATCCTTTCTGTCTGTCATACGAATAGGGACTCAAATGGACAGGTTTCAGTTCCGTTAGAGTGACACTATACGAGACTTGGCTAGCAGTACTCTGCTGATTGCTTTACATTTTATAGACACCTTTATTACTTGGTTCTACTCATATCCACTCATCGTAGCCTAAGTGGTGATTGTCTAACGCATAAGCCAGTGCCAATGCTGGAGACTGTGAAGGAACTTCCATTACACAACACGTCGCCTCTATAAATGAGAATCAACGTGAGATAAAGTGGAACGAGAGAAACACTACGGTTAACTGTTGTCTTCGGGTTAGACAACTATATCAGCGCCAGTGGAATGGAAGCTGGAATCACAAACCGCATAGTAAAAGCACGAGGCGCTTTTGCCAATTTCTGCCACCTGTGGCGCAGACGCGATATCACACTCGCCCTGAAGGTCAGAGTTTGCAGCCATTCATTCAACCCTACTGTATGGTCGCAAAACCTAGTCCATCAAGTCGATAGACATAAAGAGGCTAGTTACGTTCGCTCATCGCTGCCTTCACAGCTTAGCTCATGTCTAATGGGAACACCGCCTGAGCAATGAGCGTGTTTGGCCTCGCGTACTTGGTGCAGGAGGAGCGAGTGAACCGCTCAGCACCGTTATATCACGCATCAAGCTCCGATGGCTGGGCCGCGTGTTGCGCATGCCAGCACATCAATTCCCGCATCGTGCGTTGTTTGCTCGCCGAGATTGTGGATGGAAGAAGCGAGAGGCCAAGCAATGACTTAATCAAGAGAAATGAAATCCCTCACTTCGAAGTCGGCGTCGTATGGTGTTTCCCGACTGTCTGGCTGGGGTCCTAAGGACGATGAACAGGTTTGGTTGGATACACTGGTTGACATGGCGAAGAGCTGACCTCAGTGGCCCTTGTGTTTTGAATTTATTTGTCCTTCTCCATCCCGCTTATCTTCCCTCTTCAAGCTTAATGTTCCTATACGTTTCAGTATCTTGCTTTTTCGTATGTCTTAACTTTATGTGTTGAGACATAATACTTGTGGTGTGTTTCTCATCTTCAGCTACTGGGTAATGATGATGATGTCTTCGGATTTCCGTCATTCTCCAGTAGTTACGCAGGAATGGCGCTCTGAAAAGCAACGATTCAAATCCATTTACGCGCCATAACATTTCCGATCTTTCGCTACACCACACTTCCTCTAGTTAGACAGCGTCGCCGTTGACACACCACACTCTCCTTGAGTCGGTACTTCTAGTTCAACCGTTAACTTCGCAGGCGGTTTGTTTGGTCTCCCGACAGTGTGCTCAGTTTTGTTCCGGAGTGATTTAAGCCGATTGAAAGTTATTACCGTGTTCACTGTCAGGGTTCTTAGGATTTTTGATAACACATGTCAAAACACTGCTAACTCATGGTGTAGGCTAACCAGAGCTCTGTCGGTTGGTGCCTAACGCAACTACACCCGAAGATGTTTTATCATAATCATCCTCTTGTCGTCGGTGAACGTTCCCCTAATGAACGCCTGCAGTCTGGTGTGTTTGATAAAGGGAATCAAGTAGTCTGCTCACATGACCAACATCAGACGTTACTCGTACTTCTTCGGTCCAGATAAGATGGTTTTTTGTCCGGTAGAGGAGTGAACTGCGCTTTGACAGGCCACCAAGCAGTTTGTTTACATAAAGTCCCACAAAGGTTTTACTAGCGACTTTGACCCCTTATTCGTACCATCGAATTGTACTTTGCCTTGGGATGGTAAACCGTCGTTCGCGTCTTGTCTGTGCCGAGTACACGACAAAGTTCGTGTACCACCAAACTCTCGGAACATGAGTCCCTATCGGAGTGTCGTTGTCCCGGTGATACCCATTGACACACGCATTGATGCACCATCGCCGTTGCCACTGTGACCGTGTCAGCCTGTGCAGTCATAACGACATCACACCACTTAGTGAAGTATTTGACCATAATGAAGATGTACCGATGCTCATGTTGTGTTCTGGCAATGGATTGATGCGATCTACTCCAACAATCTCATAAGTTGTAATGGTGCTCTCCGATTGATGTTCGCGTTCGTGAACTTAGCGTATTTCTGACGTTTGACAAAAGTTAACCACGTCCCTTCATTGATGTGGCCACCAAAAGCGTTGACGTGCCAACGCCTCAAGCTTTTTGACTCTAGCAAGACTCAGCTGTTTGTGCAACTCAGATAACACCTGATAAACTAATGACTCGGGAACCATTATTCTCCTAACGTAGTCTGAGCCAGAATATCACACTGACGCGCTCCCCCAAAAATGGTAAGCTTGTCCCACATCGCCCGCAAACATCGTAACTTTTCCCTCCATTTTCTTTGCGACTGGTTTACCGCGCGTCGCTTGTGATGAATAATTGATACGTTTGGGTCTGACGCCTGTGCTTCCGGGCCCCTGAAGTTCTGCGACCGGCGGACCGAGTAGTTATCTGTCCGTACCAAAACTTTCTTACCAACATACACTGTCGATATTGTTTTATGAAAAATATTTAGGCCGACATTTCTTTTCTGGCTGTCAATAGTTCCGTTTTCTCGCAGTGCGACTCCTACTGTTGTAAAAAAAAACCGCTCTTTCTATTCCGCCCTGCATTTTCTGCGATAAAACAGCCTCAGTTGCCTGTCCACTGTCGTTCGCATCTAAAATGAACTCTCCAGTATTCTGTGGTAGGTCATGGAGGCTAGAGGCGGTGCACAGGAATTCTCGCAGCTGATCAAATCATCTGACATTTGACAGTCCATTCGAAAACCCGACTTTATATATAGAGATTTTCAAAGGTGTTGCGATTTCTGTGGACCCCGTAATATGAGATCAACTCAAAAAGCTACGTAATTCTTCAGCGTTAGCATGGGTTGGCCATTATTTTACTTGCTCCGCCTTACAATAATTCGTCCGAATTCCCGTCCCCGAAATGATGTACCCAAGATACGTTACCCCTTCATATAAAAGATGACACTTTGTCGGTCAGATTCTGAAGCCTGCGGTCGCTAGACGCATTGGCACCTCCGCCAGGTTGCTTATATGCATCTATTTTATTTTTCCATTTACAATTACATCATCCCAATAAGAGACATTTGCGGGAGATCATTTCATGCAACGCTTTCTGTATTAAGCGTTGAAATGTCGCAGAGGCGTTCAATACTCCAAAAGGCATGGTCTGGAACTCATAAAGACTTGATGATGCTACACAAACGCAGTTTTCACAGTTGTTTTCCTCAACCTCACTTGCCAGTACCCGGAAGCCAACTCAAGCTTACTAAAATAAACCGATCCTCTAAGTGTGTCAAATAGGTGATCCACTTTGGAGAGGGGAAAGGCCTTTCCGAGTACCAGCCCGTAGACTTAAGGATCACAAGCCTACCTGAAGGCGCGGGTTCGAGCATGCTTAGGGACTGAGCGAACCTCGCAATACCCTTAAGCCACGTACGAGCGGTGGTTGTTGCGCGGCAGCGAAGCGTCAGTACTGCGTACCGGCGTACTTTTGATGCTTGCTTCTTTCCGAGTGAGTTCATTTACTCGTCTGTAATCAACACAACCGAAGGCTACCATCCTTTTTCACAGGAACCATGGGTGACGCTTATGGAGAGATTAAGCTTTGAACGATGTTTTTCTCATGTATGTCATCGATCTTCTTCTGCACCTCACTGCCGACGAGCTGCAATCCGTCTAAGTGAACACCTCACGGGCTTAGCACCACCGGTATCAATGATATGCTTCACGACATCGCTGCCGTCAATGTTCCCCGTCCTCCATAGGAAAGCGTATCAGTGCTTTTGTAAGATGTCTACCAAACACCTCATAATAAGATCACCATAAGATGGTTTTAATGTGTGTATCAACTCTTCCATCCACGCGTTTACTTTCGTAGCTTTACAGACCGAGCACTCCTTAAGCCCCTTGCATTTTGTTTGTTGAGCGCAACACTGCAAGAGTCAGTGAGTAGACATGAGTTCGCTTTATCTAGCTGACACGGCATTCTACCCATTAAGTCCATCCCGATAATGACAGCAAAAGGAAGGTAATCGGTTACAACAAAGTGAAGGAGATTTTCACGTATTTCTCACTTACCGATGATACAATAACAATAGCCTCATGCGGTGGTGATTCACCTGATGGTCGACAACGATTCGATTTAAATAATTAAATAGATAAAATTTATTCCGTTAGTGATATGCCCATTTGGGTTGCCAGTTAGGGACATTTATTGGATGCGGTCCTTCGTGTACGGACTAACCCGATGGTCGAAAACGGACTGGTTTGGGCTGCTACTTACGGGCACTGTTCCGCTGCAATTCGCCTTCCCTCCTCTTCGCAACATAATCTGAGCTCCGTTGCCATCGTCGATTTGTTTCAGGATAAAGTGCACGCTGATCAGGCACACGGTACTTCTTCAGGACGGGACAGCTAGGTACGGTGTCCGTGGCGCAGCTGTTACTCACCACTTCGCTAACACACCAAATATTCACTCTGCTGCACTTTAGTATCCAGTCGATCAGGAGGGCGCAACACAATCAGCTTCCTCACAGATCGTGTTGGCACTCCCTCCAGCAGTTGCTCCAAAATGCGTTTTTCACCTTGGTATGCGGTGGCGTCTTCGCAGGCACGATCTGCTAGGTGTTTCAGCACAGGACGAAAGTCCTGATTTCTTTGCTTGGAAGTTGGTATACCGCGTGAAACTGCCGGCGGAGTTCCGAGAGCCGCTGTGATTGATCCGGTAAATAACGCATATACCGCTTAAATGACCTACGCATATATACTGATCTCTTACCTCAGCCTGTAGTTTTTGATGATATTACACTCCAAGATGAGTGGAACATCTGTCGTAAATGCTCCTCGTCATAACACTGACTTGTCTTCGCGCACTGCCTAGTGCCGCGTCCAATCCAGCCCAGGAAAAATCAGAGTATACATGACTTGGCCGACCAAAGGATTTTTAGAGTTATTCATGGTCATATTTATAAGTCAAACATGTGTTGCCACACCGACATTTTAGCTGTAAGCTTCCGCTCCCGTGTGCCAAGTACGTTTGAAATCTGCTGCTCTGGCGTACTGGCTGACACGTAGACTCGGCCGGGCTTGTCCTCTCTCGCCCCCTTGGTAGTTTGACCACTGATAAGTTTTTTCAAATATTGCGGCTCAGGAATCTTGGCACAGCTCAGACCGCGCCTACGCATATGATTGAGTATTTGGTTGGACAACCAACGCGCATAAGACTTCAATGAGCTAGTAAACTTGTTCGCAGCCCTAACGAGCCCTTACTTTGCGCCGCCAAAGTGTATCCCAGCATTTGGGCTTTATGCCTCTCCAACATCACCTTACAATGTATTAGGAGAACAGCTATTAGACATTCATTTTTTGTGAACGTGCTTAATAGCTATTCTTTATTCTTCCTATTTTCTGCTTCTTGACTGTTGTTTACACGCGCTACTGGGTTAGCCCGATTGGTACACACACGTCATTGTTAATGGACGCTCATCGTCATGTCCTTTTCAGCAGTGCCATTTGCAAGAACACATTCCATTGGTTTTTCTTCTCACCACTGTTCTACTTGGTTATGTCGAAGGAATATATACTTATCACACAATTATTGTACTAGTTTTTAATTTTTGGGTCTGCATTTCTTATTCTCGTTTTTTTCGTGACATTTGTTTAAACGCTTCATTTCGTTATTCTGATTGGCCAATGCCCGTCACTGTAAATGGATGTCCGCTTTACGCTTGGAGTCCCATAATGCTATTTTAAGGACATATGCGATTCGCTCTTGAGTACACGGTTGCTTATTCGCCGTTGCATTTGACGTTTTTCCTTCTGCTGGTTGGCTCAAGTGTAATTTAGTAGCTTCCCTTCATTTTGCCTTCAAAACTATATAAGCAAATGTGATTTCATGTATACAAGTCTCTTTCTGGGTCGTCTTTGGACGGTCGTGGGGTGAAAGCGTCAGCGGCGACACAACACAAGGATTCTCGGGATACCACTTTGAAGACGCATTGATGCGCTTTGCTCCCGCTTATGATTGCTTTCTGCGCTTTCCCCACAGTATCCCTTAATTTTTCGTCCCTATCTTCATTCCGCTGTTTTTGATCTTAATCATCATGATAGCATAAGCCAAAGTAAAGTACTCCACTGCATAATTTTTCTTAAATGAAGTTGAGCAACTGTTCACACCTCCCTTTTCCCCCTTCACCGTGGCGTTTGGTTGGGACGCATGGTCGTTGACTATAACACGGTGAATGAAGACCGCGGGGAAGTTGCTTTGCTAATGTCGCCTTATCTTTGCATGCAGCCAACTTTTACTGAATGTGTATTGTTTGTAAGTTTTAAGCTCCTAGGTATCAAATCTCCCCCTCAATAATTCTCATTATAGTTGTCTAGTAACCATGCGTTAGTTGACATTTCTGATGTACTGTGGTGACGATAACTGGATACCTACAATGGCTTGGCTTTTGTTATGGTACTAATGACTCACTATTGTTAAAGCTTTATATGAACTTCCTTGTGAGCAACTCTATGCCTTTTACAAATTTTACTAAAACCTGTTCGTTTTCTCTACCGCCTCTCTCCACCTGAAGATCGTCGGATCTTCCCTCTCTCCCGGAACCGGAAAGGTCAAACGCGCTGTCTGCGTCAAATGAGGCGCCTCACCTCACCTCATCTTCTCAATGTGTCCCGGCTGTGCATGAGGACTCGGACTGTCGTCAACGTCACACTCCACAACGAGGACACATTGAGGACGACGACGATACGCATTCGATTCAGACCACGATGATTTACTACACATTGTCTTTGCTTCGTAACTTGCTACGTCACAGAAGAGTACGTGGATTTCCTCTCCCCAACTTTATCCGCCGCGGATGGTTGTCCTCTCTAGACCGAATGTATGTGTATGCTTGCCAACCTATTTAAGCAAGGATCTCACTCTTGTATTATTGTGCCGATTCGGCGCTCGCCTTTTACGCATTGCGTGGCAACGTCGTTATCCTTTCTCCGTCTGCTCTTATCGCTGCCTTCGCATGCAGCCCATGCATCGAACCGACTGGGGATCTCCTTTGTCTCTCTTTTGCGCTTTTTGGCACTTAAGGCCACTAAATTACCAGCATCCAGTTGCCTGAAGTATAACAGATGGACTTACCATGTTGACGCTGGTACCAGTATGTATGGACACAAAAGATTGTCACCAGACCATAGAAATCTCTAAATGATTGCTTGTCCCTGTCCGATCAGTGGCCAAGTGGTCCAGGCGTCTAGTTTAAACATGCGCGAGTGCGGGCGACCTTGCAGCGCCTCAGTCCACTTGCACCCATAGAGCTTCACTGAGAAGTGGTTACATTGCCGATACCTTTCTACTCCTGTTTTGAAATTGCCGTTAGTTCGCGTTCCCTCTCCGATCTCACCAGGTCTAGTCGACATGCCAAAACCGCGACCTTTTGGTTCTCTTATTTTATCACCGTTTGATTAAACTTTCTTTGTCTTGTTTTTTTCGCTAAGTTGGCCTTAAGTATCTAATTGATTTCAGTCTTCATCGTCAGTCTTAAGCCTCTTCTTAGCTTCCTTTCACCTACCCTTGTGAGCTACGAACTTTCGGTTTAGTATTGTAGCTACATTATCACCCTTTCTCAACCTCACTCTCAGCTAATCAAGGTGTTTCTCCATATTTGCAGGTCATTGACGCCATTATCAAGAACCATTGGTGGAACATCGCACAACTTCTCATTTCTGTGCTAGAAGGTGGTTATCCGCAACCAGTCAAGGAACAAGTGCGCTCAATACATTTGCCAGCTTGTGTTTACGGTTTCTGGTTGTTTGGGGCTCAATCTGGAGTGTCTACCACTTTTTACGTTAAATTGTTACTTCCACCCATTATCATGGAGTAACTTGCCCGCGCTTCCTACTTTGGTGGATCTACCAGCCCCATCTACGCTTACTGTGCTCACGGTGAAATGTCACCTCCATCCGTTTCGTCTTAAAATCGCACCACACTCTTAAACTCTTTCGTAGCTATTGTCCAGTCGTGGTGCTAACGCGGTTCGATGTATGGTGCCCGTCACTCTCGTGTAGCCCTTAAGACGATTGTTATTGGGTTATACTCGAATTGGTTTCCGACTGTCGTGTTTTGGAGCACTTCCGTGTGTGCGGATCGCGACACACTATCTCGGTTGGGCATCACATCTTATATCAAAGTGAGCCTAAGCTTAATGACCGAGTGATCATGGTGTCCTCCGTCAGCCACTGTGCGTCGTCTGGTTCCACTCTAAAGTTAGGTTGTATCTACCTGAAGAGCCGAAATAACGATGAAACCGGTTGTGAAGTAGAGTGTATTTTGGAAAGAATAGCGCCCAAACTCTCCACTTCGGCTGCGGTCCCAGTCGTGATAGTTAGTGCCTCAAGTTTCCCACAGTGTGATCCGTGGCGGCAATTGGGGTTTTGTGCCCCGCAATCCAAACACCACGAGGGCTCCAAAATCCACCAGGGTACTTCGCACCGCTGTGCCAAGCGCTACTTATGGAGCTCAAAAATCTAGTGTTCACGGTTTCAACCATCAACCGCTTTGTGTCGGGCTCCATTTCGAACTCTGGCTGTCTCTGCCTGAGAATATGGACGGTACCGGTCATGGAGCGTACTGTTGGCAGTAAACAACATCGAAACGTTTTAGTCTGTTTTCCCCAACTTCTCGCTCTCATTTTGTGTCGGTTAGATTTTGGCCTCATTCCCCCAGGTCATTTTTATCCCCTCCTCCCCGGCATGAACACTTGTATCAGCCATTTCCATGCTACGGTGGTAGGCGCGCACGTGCAACACAGTGACCATAGCAAATACCGGCAAACCGTTGAAATTACCTCGCTTGCGAATATTTTTGTTTTGCGCAAAATTTTTTCTTGTTGTACTTGCTAACTCCCATAAGCCGTCGTAACGAGATTGGATCTTAACGTGGTGCGACGGTTTGCGTACCTCCTGGACTCATTGAGCAATACTGGGTTGTGCCCCCACGTCCCTTGATAACTACTCCTGTCAGGTTAGTCAGTAGTTAGAGGTCAAACAGACTCAGCCTCCTAATCCTTCATCTTGGCGGTTTGAAATGGGATGGCACCCATTTCTGTAAAACTTAATCATTGCCACCGCCTGCTGCCTTACGGACGGGCTATTGAGCCAAAGCCTTCGCTTGTGGACTAATCGTCCTCTTGTCTAGGTATGGGTGCCCTGGTCATATCTCAGCTCATGTACAACCTTGATTGTTTCTTCAAACTTCAGCCACGTCTTGCATCGCTCTTCGCATAGATTATCAAGGGTGGCCTTCTCTGCTGCATACAGTAGGATGGCTAAGCGAAAACATGCTACAGCTGGCGCCTCCTTTCTTTTCTTCCTGTTTCTCTTATTCCCATCCCAACCCCACTACTGACCTTCCTTTTATATTTCCGTTTAATTCACAGCATCCGTAATGCTACTGGGGTCGAATTATCTGCAGTCACATTTCCGTAAAACCCACCGGACGCCTATCGGCAATCGTCCTTTATGAGACCACACTGTCCCATTTCCCTGACGGCGTTCAACCTTCACACCCTAAGACAAATAAGTTAACAGGCTGTGCTCGCACTCACGTTGGATACACTGGGTATTGGCATGTGCTGTGTCGGAAACTAGGATCAATGACCCTAATGGGGTTTGTAGTGGGGGTTGGAAATGCTGCCGTACCGATAAGCAGATGACCAATCGAACGCCCCCGAGAATCTCGCGCAGTACCAGACAGGTGCAGTCCAGCCCGATAGAGAGTGAGCATGTCGTCGGAAGCAGATTGGTCAGCCAAGCGGCAAATGGTTGGCGCACATCCGCCTCGAGCGCTGCAAGCACAGTCAGCAATCATCCACTGAATGTGCAAGTGACCAGTCAGGCGCCAGTAGGTTCTAAAAGCACGGGGGAAGAAGCGCGTACTCGTGCGGAGCCTATTGGTGCGCACTTGAGCCGAGGTTCGTGGGATTGGACCGAAGGAAATGGCGCACGGCCTGATGGACGAGTGCCCAATCGAACCTATCGTACAATTCACCAAGAAAGTCAAAATAATTAGACGGAATGAACGTGGTGAGCAAGTGTAAACCAATGGAAAGGAAGCCAGCGACAGAATGCAAATAACTAGGATGAGCCAGTGAAGCGGACTGTTGCAAATAGTGCATATACTCGTAAGTAGTAGGGGGGTTTATTCGATTTTTGTGTAGCTTCGTCGCAGTTAGACACAGTCAGCCAGCCGCCACACATCCAGGAAAGCGCTAGACGGCCGTTTCATCCTATTGGGACTCGTCAGTCGCGCGCACCCTACGAATCCCGCCGGATTCGAACAAACGACCTTACTCTTGCGAGTCAGCGGCTTATGTCACTGAGCCATGAGCGACGGCAGCGGACCGCCATGACTGTTATCTAACTGCGATATAGCGTGGCTCATCCTCCACCGTCTTGCGTGTTTTGAATGTGCAGAGGATAGGGCTGGCCCCCAGAGCAACGACTTCCTTTGCATATACCCTATAAATATGGCAGCGTGCTTTTAATAAACGACTTCGTTGCCGCGGCCTAGTCTTCTTGCTTTCCGGAGGGCTACACGACGGGTTGTTGAATTAAGTTCAAGTTCAAGTGGGACCGGAACAGTAAGATAAATCCCCGTGAATGTTCCTTCTGTGATGCGTCGTTGATCCAGGGTATTATTCGTCCGCGATAACTGGAATCCAGAAGAGTCAGATCAGCGCGCGCGAATCACACCACGGTCAACCAGTTTATATCCACGCGACCTGCACTGGCAGTCCCCGCCGCACCGGTCACGTGAAATAAGAAAGAGAAGTACGAAAGTAATAAGAGCGTCAAGAAAAAAAACCTAAGATTTAATAATTCAATAAGACGAATAAGCTAGGACGTGAAGGGGAATGTTAAGAATTGAAGGCCAAGAGCGTCGAGTCGGCGTTCGAACTCTTTCACTGTTGGTGCCAATACCACGTTCTCGGACAGTGCATTCCAGCAATCCACCACTCGGCGTGTTAAACGAAAGTCCGCCCGGACTCCATCCGATCGAGGTTTGTGTTGCTTCAGCGAGTGACCTCGGAGCGATGGAAGCCGAGCCGGTTGGAAAAGCCCGGATAAATCGGGTCCGATTTTACCGGTAAGTATACGATAGGTCAAGACTAGGTCGCCTCAATGTTGACGATAGTGCATCGAGAACATTCCCAGCGCAAGTAGTCTTTCCGGGTAAAAATGGTTCCGCAGTTCATGGACCAGTTTGGTTCCAACTCTCAACACTCTCCACTGACATCCTGTCCCTTACTAAGCAAGGTGGACAAACCTGGATGCAGTATTCCAAGTGTGGCCTGACAAACGCTGAGAATAACCTAACAAACATAGCGCCCGTGATGGTCCCGAATGCCCTGCGGATCATCCACAACATTCTGAAACCCTTGCACGTAGCTTTCCTCCAGTTCTCACTGGATTTAAGTTCTGAAGACAATGTGACCCCTAGGTCTACCAATTGGGTAACATGGTGGAGTTCATTACCGCCAAGAAAATAACGCGTTTGGGGGCTATTTGGCCCTACTCGTAAGATGGAACACTTTGCATAGTTTATGCGCAACTGCCACAGAGCAGCCCAGTCCCAAAGTTTATCGAGGGCCCGTTGCAGAGTCTAGGGTCCGCCGAAGTCAGACACTGTGTGCCAAAACTTTAGGTCATCTGCAAACATGAGAAATGGTACCTCCAGCAGTTCGGGCAGCTCGTTGACATACAAGGAAAATAACAACGGGCCAAGCACCGAACCCTGAGGGACCCCACTGAGGACTGACTGAAGGAAAGACAGACTAGACCCGACACGAACACACATCTCTCTCCCTTCCAGAAACGTGGTGATCCATTTTAGTACACCCCCGGATATTCCATAGGACCGAAGTTTCAAGGAAAGGCGAGAATGTGATACAGTGTCGAACGCCTTGGAGAAGTCAATAAACACCACATCTACTGCATGACCCCGATCCAAAACATCCGCGCCTAGCTTGTCTTCTTGTTATTGACTGCACGCTCGCGGAGACGCTGCTGCGGCAACCACTGGTCAAGCTTGAGTAGGTGTCGGTCTTAGCTCCAAGGCCGAGTCATTGTTGGTTGATTGATTTCTTGTGAACAGCCGTTTGTGTGCATCCCGTTTGAAGACATGAATTAAGGTTGAAATATGAAGTAGTAAAATACTCTGCTTGCTTGTGATTTCCGCTTATGCTCCCGCCGGCTGCAGTTTTGATGCCGCTAAGGACATATTCTTTCACGAAGCTAACACACTACTGTCCAATCCTATCAGTTCATATATTATGGTACGTACAGGGGATATGAATGCACAAGTAGGGCGTATGAGTTCTTCAGAGGCGCAGCTGAGTGGTAATTATGGGCTTAACTCCGAACGGACTGACAACGGGGAGCGTCTGCTGCAAGTGTGTGCGGAGCACCAGTTGTTTCTTAGTAGCACTGCTTTTAGACACAGTGGACGCCGAAGTGCCACTTGGCGTCCTCCTGTAGCTGGCCAGCGATGGACCCAAATTGACCACATTGCAATAAGTTACAGATGGTGTGGTTCTATCCTGGATTGTCGCTCGTACTGGAGTACCTGTGTCGACTCTGCTCATGCCTTGGTACGCTGTCGTTTCTCCAATAAATTTACCGGGAGGCGCACCAAGCGTCTCCTCCAATTGGCCACTGAGGAATTGTCTCAGCCCTCGGTCAGGCAAGCCTATCAAGACGCACTGCATACCGAACTTCCGCTGTCTTGTCCTAATGACACTGCGCTTCAGTGGAATAGGATCTCGGCCGCCATGCACGACGCAGGAGCATCTGTTTATAGCACTATCCATCGTCACCGCACCAGTCACTGGATATCCGAGAGGTCGGTGAATCTTTTGGAATCTAGAAGACACCTCCCGGCTGGCTCTGAACACAGTGTGACCAGACGGGTTATTAGGTGTGAATTAAAGCGGAGCGTACGTGCTGACAAGGAAGCCTGGTGGACCAGTCGGGCTCAAGGAATGGAGGAGGAAGGAGCACTAGGCAATTACTGCAAGCGTTTCCAGCTGATCCGCACCACTGGTCCCAGACAGCCAGGCGTCTGAGACAGGGCGGGAGCACTGATGCACAATAACAAGCGCCGTATAGCGCCTTGGGCCGAACACCTTCAAGATCATTTTTGTCGGTCCCTTACTTCCAGACCTCTTGCCGCCTAATGATGTTGGGGCGGCACAATTAACCTTGAATAGCCTTCCTGGAGTGGTCGCATCATTTAGCATGCGCTTCACACTTTCAAAGTGCAGTTTTGCTGCAGGACCACCAGCCACTTGATGCCCCCTTGAACATTGATGTCGAGGAACTCGAGGTATTTGGTCGGTTAACTTGTCTTGGCAGCTGCATCAGCAATGATGGTCGCACAGCAACTGAGGTAAGTTCACGCAGTGCAAAAGCCGGTACTGTCTTCTTGAATCTGCGAAATCTCTGACGACGGAAAGGAGTTTCCCTTTGAAGACCGTGAGGGCCGTCCTCCTCTATGGCAATGCGACTTGGCCTCTTCGGTCTGAGAATGTGAGACAACTTCAAGTCTCATCGCTGTCTGCTCGAGTATTGCTGGTATCGGGTGGAACCAGTGTGTCCGCAACGATGATGTGCGTATTCGAGTACTAGACAGTCATAATCGAGCTAGAACCTTAGAACAGTAAGTTGGCTTGGTCACGTACAACGTATGCCCGGTCGCCGCTCATCGAGGAGCGCCTTCTTTACTCTGTCAAATATGGGGTTGTACAAGGCTCAAGGTGGCCGAAGGTTTACTTGGCAGCGAGAAATGAAGTCACTGACGACCAAACTGGGTGCCTTCGGTCTGTCTCACCTTTTAGTCTGACGTCCATGTGACTCGCCTTGTGCTTGGCTCGCAACTACTGGACATTGCTCACAGTCAGCTCCGTTGGCGCGTCTACCACTTTCTCCAAGTCTGATTGCCTGTTTGACGTGTGCTTTGTACTGATTTATCTGTGGGTAATGACTGATTGTGACTCGGGGCAGTGAAAACCGCAGGAAAGCTATCTCGCCGATGCTGCCTTACGCGAATATCTCACTTACTATCCTTTGTACACATTGTTTTCCTGATACAGGCATGCTTTCAAAAAAACAATTTCGCTCGGTTCTTCAACTGTTATCTGCGCATTTACGTGCATTGAATTCACTGGTTTAATGTTGCTCATGACAATAATTTCTCGAGCAGAGAGACAAAGAACTAAATTCATCAAATGTAGCAATTTAGGGCCAGCAATAAAGAGTTGGTGGTCCAGCACTACTGACTTTGTGAATGCGCCAAATCCGATTGGTGTGTTTCAAATCACTGCTGCAGCTGATTCTGAGTCATTCGTCTGTTCGAACGACACGTATAAACCTAAGTGAGTCGTTATGTGTATCTTTACGATCCTTCACATATGGCATTCGCATCAGCAGTACGCCGGTACGCAGTACCGATGCTTCGCTACCACGCCACCACCAGTGGGGTATGGGCTAAGGATACTGCGAGGGTCGCCCGGTTTCCTACGCAGACTCGAACTCGCGACCTCAGATAACAAGGCAGGCTTGTGATCTATAAGGTCACGGGCCGACTCGTTGACATGATTGTCATTGATTGATCGACTAGGCACTGTGTAGGCATGCAACACACGTCAAAGCAGCGGACTTTTAGGCATACGGGGCACGTGACTTAGCCATCAACGTTGATTCGAGTGTAACGGACACACCATTGAGATATCGGGGGGGGGGTATGTTGCCAAATGCCAGATGACTGATTTTACTACCCCACCGGATATGAACAATGCTCCTTAGACACCTGGACTCAAGCTCGATCAGTCAATCTGTGTTGTCAACGTGCTCTCGAAGTAACAGTTCTGTCCTAATAGCCGTGTGACTGGGTCTATTGGATGTTGGATCCGAGCCTCAGGAATAATGCACATGGTTATTCATTTGTTCGACTTCCGATACTCATGGTTACATCTGAGCGTTTAAGTCCTGCCACATTAAGGCAAATCTATCGTTACCTATCTCGTGTGTGATTGCTGCTTGTTCTTTTGGAGAAACACATTGTCATCCCTACTACGAGGCGCATGCTTTTTGATCCCACTCGTTCCAAACTCCGAGAGACATCCGGTGCTTATGTTGTCGCAGGACATTCGCGCTGTGTGCACTGTTTCTTTTGGGATTTCCACATCTGGGCTGATGTGAATCGTTTGCATCAGCGATTATTTTGGTAGATCGGTGACCACATTTTTTGAGCGCTAGCCGGAACTGGTTACTTCTGTCGGAGCCGTATACTGTTTGTAATTTGAACACCCTTCACTTTCAGTTCGTTTACTTTCCACTTCCCTTACCTACTCATGCATTTGGGGATAAGATAGGTTGAGTTCTGTGCGTCTGTGATATGCTTGATTTTACCCTTCGGTCCCACATACATTCATATTCTCAAGTTTCAAACATCGCACAGGTATGCCTTCGCTCACCACTCAACTTCTCTTCCTCGGCCGTAGGCAGAGTGATTCTGACCTAATGGTCACAGGCCACCAGTTCTGCAAGTGTGGGTTCCGTTGATCTCGCTTTATCCTTTATGTCCTCTCACAGCCACTGATTGTACTGCGGCGTATTGCTGATACCGTTTTCCTTTTCCACCCTCTCACTCTAATCCACTGCTCTTGTATCCCAGGCTATTCTTGTTCTTGCTCATATCGCGAATGGTCAGTCCGCCTTGGAGCAACTGAGGCTTAATCAAGATATGATCGAGAAATTAAAACTCTTCATGGTGAGTTTGAGAATTTTAATTCTTTCATTATCGCTTGACGATTACGCTTCGGATCCTACTGATGATTGCGGTGTTCTTCTTCCTCTGTACTTTAACCGTGGCTACCTATCCTCTTCACCATTTGTGCGCGTTGAGTTGAACGCGTGGTTTAAGGATTGTTCACAACGTCCCACTTTCACTTTCGATCCTCTGTGCCCAACCATTTGTCGCCCATGTTACTTACATACACTTCTTCTTATCGCGGTTAGCATAGCGTTTCCCTCATTTCCTTTCAGCGTTCTCCGGATAGCTACACAAAAGCGGCCGCTTTAATCGCAACCTATCACGTTCTGGGGCTTGGACGTGAGAATATGGGTGAGTCAATCGTCTAAGTGCCATTTTTGTCTCAATTTCTCATCCGATCCCTCCTCGCTTTTTTCGTCGCGTCCCATCTTTTACTGTGATGGGGGTCTTTTTGGGTGACGCTGGCCGTTGACCGAGTGCTCTGCACTCCTGGTTCGCAATCGCCGTAGGGATGGGCCTCCTCGCGGTATACTCAGCCCAGGCGCGACTAGTGGTGGTCTCGCGGCAGCGAATCGCCGTTACTGCATACACTTGACGTCTCCCATGGTATCTGCATTGATCATACATACTCCACAAGTTTGATGTATCACAAAAGCCGAAGTACTAAACGAGACGTTCTTTTAGCCTCAGGATTTGATGTTAGTCGTCTTTTTGCTTGTAGTCCTTGAAATCAGCCACAGGAGCGATTGGATTTTCCAACAGGTACAGTGCAATCACGAGGATGGGGGCGCTGTCACATTGGTTTCCTCATTTCCGCTTCTGCACTGGGCCATCTACCCATTGTACTTCTTACTCGTTCCTCTTGATTTATCCTTTTCTTTTTCTTTTATTACATGGGTCATTACAACTGAGGATCCACCGCACCTCGTTACATAAGTTATAACGTATTAACTGGATTAAACTCTGTCTCATTTTATACCTAGCCCTGCTCGAATTGACTCTCTTCGCTTGAACACCACGATGTTGGACCGGTTTGTCCATTAGTCTCTTCATACCCTGTATCTATTGTTCGTTCCTCGTCTGTACCTCATTTTAACCAGCCGTCAACCCTACTTTTCGCACGTTTTGTTACTGAGGAGGACACAAATCATAAGCGACTGTTGGCACATATATAAAAAGGGTCTTCTCCAGCTGCTGGACTCAAAAGATCTCCTAACACCGGCACAGCACGGCTTCATGAAGGGCCGCTCGTGCATCACCAACCTGTTGTTGACGCGGCAGGAATGGTTGCAAACGTTGAATTGGGGATGTTGTCTACACTGATTTCACTAAAGCTTTCGATAAAGTGAACCATGAAGTTTTGCTCCCCAAGCTGAGGATGTGTGGTGTTGGTGACGCAGTGCATCAGTAACTTCCTTATGGGGAGCAGATGGCGGTTACAGATGGATGACCACCTGACGGAATGGTACTCGTCCACTAGTGGCGTACCCCAAGGCACGGTATTGGGGCCCGTTACTTTTTGATCCACATCAACGAAGTACCTCAGCTTCTTCGGTCGCTTTGCATATTATTTGCGGATGACCTGAAGATTTGGAGGATTATTATTTCTCCCGTCGACTGTGACGTCCTTCAGCAGGACTTCGACCGCCTATCCTGGTGATCTGCAGAAGTTGACCTACTTGTCAACACGGCCAAGTCCTCGTTCAATAGCCTGACGAGGGGTAGTAATGGGCGTGTGAACACCCTGTCCAGCCACCCGCTGCATCCCACCAGTTCCGTAAAGGATCTAGGCGTACTATCACGCTGTGATCTGAAGTCTGTCGACAACACGAACAGACTGTACGCAAACGGACTACGCCTGCTTTGGGCACTTAGACGCAGCTTCTGCACTTGGTCTGAAGAGATTGCCACCCGTCTGTTCTCTTCCATAATAAGACCGGTGCTTGAGTACGGCTCACCCGCCTATTGTCCGATCACAATAGGTGAGGTGCAGAGACTGGAACGGGTCCAGCATGTAGCTACCCGGCTCATCCCCAGTTTACGGGGTATGTCGTACGAGGACCGATGTAGGAGACTAGGGCTTTATACCCTGTCATATCGTCGGCTTCGAGTTGATCTCATTATGACGCACCGGATACTGCACCTAGGCCACTTCCCTATGTTGAAGCCGCTGCTGCACGTTCGCGCACCAAGCAGCACACGCGGACACCGGTACAAACTAGTGGTACCGGATTTAAAGCACATCGCTCACCCTCTATGCTTCGAGCGTCGAGTGGTGAAATATTGGAACAAATTGCCGGAGACGCTAGTCGAGGCGAAATCGGTGTCGGAATTTAAGCGATTCCTTGACACCCACTTTGCGGTTTACAGGTATAGAGAGCTTATCGAACCCGGATGAGATGTAGTGCAGCTGCAATCTGCTGCCACCGCGCTGGCATCAGTGACGTGATTCCGCGCATGTGCCCGATCCAACTACGATGTATCACCACAGATTTTTATCTTCTCGCTCTCTATTCTCAGTATCCTCATCTCCTAAATGTCATCCACTGTGTGTGAGACAGTCATTTTCTTCTAATTCAATTACAAATAAATGAGAGAATAAATCAATAGAGTATTTCCCGATAGGGAGGATATCTTTTGAACATTGACAGCATTCTTTTATAGAAGCAGTATATTATCATTTTTGGATCAACGTGTGCTGGATACTACTTTTGCCTCAGATTACTGTGTTAGCAGCGTTTTATCTGTGTGAATTGTGCACCATTATTCTTCTTTTGGCGTATTTTCCAAGCGGTGCAAATTTGGGAGCTATTCTTTGGCTTATTCCGGAGATCTCACTGATTTGCCATACTGCCATCTCTGTCCGCCATCTTGGATTTGCTCTAGCTTGTGATGCCGTCTCAAGCTACTTGTGGTTCGTGTTCGAAAGTTGTGGGAAATAAGGCTCATGCACTTCGATGCTTCAGCTGTGATGTTTTGTTCCATATTTCGTGCATTGGCTTATCCGTTGACGTGTTTCGAAAATCGCTCGACATCCGACATCGGTTTTTTCAAGTTATATGTGATAAATGTCGCGGTACAAGACATCAGAATACGCAGCGACCGCAAACAACTACGGAAAAATCTCTCTTTCAGATAGAAACAAACCGTTCACCACGTGGGATCAAACGCCCTCGTGAAAGTACCTCTGTCACCTCGCCTTCTATTGTCTCTCCGCGATCTGCACCACCACCAGCGTCTTCGACCCCGGCCGAACCCCAGGTTCAATGTTTCCCACCGATGGAAGACTCAGACTCAGAAGCTACGAAATGCCGCTTCACTGATCGGTCCGTGAATTTCTCAGAGCCTGTCTGTGAACTTCTGAACACCGAGGATTCATGGACCACTCAAAAGCGCAAGGGCCCACGTAATCGAGTTCAGACGTCACCTGCTGATAAACAACTACCCAATCAGTTAAGCGCCTCTAGTTCTGCTCCCACAGGTTCATCACTGATTTCGATGAGGCGTCATAATCTCATGGTCTTCCACGTACCGGAGTCAAAAGATGAAAACCCTCAGATACGTTATGATCACGATGTTGAGTTCCTCCAGGGGCTCATCGATAGACTCTTGGATGTGGGCGAGGACAGTGTGACGATTAAACAAGTAATCCGACTTGGCCAGAAAACTAACCAGTCATGTCGACCTCTGAGGATCACTTTTGCAAATCCTAATATGCCGCAGCTCATACTGTCTCGTCTGTCAAGGCTGAAAGGCATAAAAGTTCACATCCGCCGAGATTTGGAACCCGAGGACAGGGATCGTTTGAAGACTGCGGTCATTGAGCTCAAACGCCGTACAGAGGAAGGTGAGACTGACTTACAAGTTGTAAATTTTCGGGTGATCAAGAAGGGTGTACGAACCCGTATCAACCGGTTGCTCAACCTCCAGGCACGTCCCGCAGTACCTCCCAGGACCTCCGTGTCGCATTCGCCAACGTGTGCAGCCTAATGAACAAACGTGACGAACTGTGCCGCTTCGCTGTCTCGGAGCGGCCGGACATTTTAGGACTTGCAGAGACATGGCTGAACTCCGACATCATACCCCAAGAAATCGTGTTGTCAGGATACTCTTGTTTCCGATGTGACCGAAAATCAAAGGCTCACGGTGGTGTTCTGTTGTACATAAAATCGTCACTATCTGGCAAACTTATCAGTACCTATCGGAGCGAGGATAGTTTATGCGAGCAATTGTGGTGCACACTCCGTCTCAGGCGCGCAGAACTAATTGTGGGGGTTATCTACCGGAGCCCATTAAACCGTTGCTGCGATTGGATACCACATGTACAGAAGCACATGAGCCGCCCTCAGTTCTTACTGATGGGGGATCTAAATTTACCTAAGATAATTTGGCCAGATGTTCGACTTCTTCCCGGTCATGGCAACGTTGAGGCTCAATTCGCTAAAATGACTATTGAAATTGGGGCAACGCAACATGTCATCCAATCGACGCGCGTAACTCCGTACTCGGCATCTTGTCTGGACCTAATGTTTACGAGCTGCGAGCAGAAGCTAAAAGAGATCAGAGTCATCGAACCTCTGGCGAACAGTGACCACTGCTCTATTGTAGCAAGCTTAGAACTGTCGTTACCATATTACAATCAACAGAAGCCGACATTCAACTATTGGAAGACGGACTTCAACGGACTCGTTCAAGCCGCAAGTCAGACTGATTGGACACTACCACAGGATGCGTCACTTGAGGCGTGGTGGTCATTAATAAAGGGGAAGCTTAACTCGCTCTGTACTCGGTTCGTTCCCCTTAAGTATCCAAAAATCGGACCTATCAAACCGCATTGGTTTGATAGGGAATACAGACAGTTAGCGCGACGACGTCGTAAACTTTGGGATAGATACATCAGCTCGGGTTGTGATGAAGATTACGCGGTGTACAGGAAACAGCGTAACTTATGTAACGCCGCAAAGATCAAGAAACGCCGGCAATTCGAAGAGGAGCTAGCATCTTCGGCCACAACTGCACCCAAGCGAATATTTGCCTACTTGAAACGTCAACTGAAACCTGGAGACGACCTACCGGTCTTAGAGAGCTTAGACGTGAAAACACTCATTTCAAGCGCGGAGCGCGCGGACGCCCTGGCTACGCACTTCCTCACTGTATTTTCCAGTAAACCGGCGGCTGTTCCAGTACCGGCACAGGTTGCGCAAGTCTTGCTCGACAGCCTACAATGTGATGCAGTCGAAGTACATCAGCTACTCGTCAACCTCAATGGTGCAAAGCCCCCCGGGCCAGACGGACTTCACCCACTAATACTCAAGTCCCTATCGATTATCATCTCACCAGTTGTGACAAAC